TAATCAAAACTTGTAAAGGCAAATACAAGACATGAACAGAGAACATAAAACAAAAGGCAGAATAAGTTTATTAATGAAAATAGCACAATCATCAAGACTCTAAGTACTATGAGGATAGTGAACCAGAAAGACTTAGACTATGAACATGATAGGAAACGTGTTGTAGTTTAGCTCTTCGTAGCTAAGATACAAAAAGCCAGACAGAAAACAAGACTGGACAAAGAACAGAGACACAAGACAAGATCAGACATGGAAAAGAGACAAAGCAGGAGAACAGAAACAAAGCCTCAATTTGAATGTAAATTAAGCATGAACCAAATAATCTAGATTAGCATAAAATAACCAGGAGACATAATATTCACACAAAAAATCAGATGTATATAATCGTGCTCATGTATGTGGCTGTGCACCTTTCCTTTATTCATCCCAATTTGTGTCAAATAGAGCGCAGCTGCTGATGCCGCCCTGTCCCGCCCATAAATAAATGTGCAAATTAGTATAAATACATTGGAGGCGTCCACCCTGTGTCCAAATAACCATGACAGAAACATTTGGGCAAGTCAATGAAAATGAATTTTATAGAATGTGAAATGGAGGTGCTGGTGTTTGAGGTTGAGGCAAGAAGAAAATTAATATCTGGAAGTCACTCTGGAATTAGTAATAAAATGACAATGCGGCATATGCTGTTAATGCGAGAGGAGCAGAATTTAGATCACTGGCTGAAATTAAAAAGAAATGGACTGAAATTAAGGTGGATGTCAACAAGAAAGTTGGTGCACATATCTGGGGTGTTTCAACAACAGGTGGAGGCCCAGAATTACCAGAACTGACTCCACATAAAGGAAGAGTTTCTACAGTGATCAGGAAAACGGCACTTCCTGGCCTCCTGCCAGAACACGAAGGGGAATCGGACATGTTGGGTATTGGTATGTATAATTTAAATAACTGCTTTAATAATCCTGTACCTATATAAATCAGTACCTTGACAATTTAATATATTGCAACATACCATTAAGCAGAGTGTACACACTGAGTTATTCAAGTTGATATTTATTGGCAGGTCAAGTGGAAACCAGGAAGTGCATCGGATCTGAGAAGAACCTCAGTCATTGGTGCTCACTCAATGCTGTGCTGCAGTTAGAGGGATGCTCTCCAAACCATCAGGTACATTTGCGCTGAATTACAGTAAACAAGTTTTTGAGTGACATAAGTGAGTCAGTAAAAAACTAAAAAAATAAACAGTTTGTGTGCCCATACACGTGCACTGCTCTGCAATGTCCGTATGAAATCCAAACTACAATGTCTCGCTGCTGCTTTGAGCTAAATTGAAGGTGCTGGCCTTCATCAAGCACAGGCAAACCTCCAAGATTTGCCATATTATCAGCACGCCACATGCTAGCTCACTGTGACATGCCTTCAATGGGGTGTAAAGCAGGACACCACCACTCCTGTCCCAGCAGCGCCCTATGGTACGCTCAATAACAGACCGTGTGCTGGCATGCAGCTCGTTGTATCCCAGCTCTTGTTTTGTCTGGGGAATGAAGAGAGGAGTGAGGAGCTAGGAGGCAAAAGGGGAGCGTTGGCTACCTAAGGACAGGGGATGAATTAGAATCAAACCATTTAAATGGCATCAATTAGGAAGACCACACAAATGATGAAGTACAGAAAATACTGTACTTCAGTAAACAATTCAGAATTGGCTGCACAGTTTTCGAATGAAAATGTTTCTGATTCACAAAAAGCAAATTCATATGCAGAAGGTGCCTTTATAACAGTAAGAGAGCAGTCGATAGCTCTGATTACATGCAGAAATCAGCTCCTTGCTGCAAATTGCAATTTGATATTTGCCTGTTCAGCCAGAGTGTAAGGAAATGTCATATAATGGGAGAACATATGAATGAGACTTGGGACAATACCAAAATAAGTTTTCTGTGTGTGGAGGACAACTAACTCTGTCACCCTGAGCCTACAATTCCCAATGCAAAATATGGTGAAAGCAGCATCATATTTTATGATGTGGGGAGGCTTTTCTTCAGCAAGAACAGGAAAGGTGCCAGTTTTTATGGGGCTTAGTCTGTATTTCATTTCTTTTTTCTTTTTTACATTCACTGTATCTGCTCAGCTGTTTGGAAGGTGCAGAAAGCAAGAT